CGGCAGCGGGAGCAGGAGCGACGAGCAGCGAGAGGCGCGAGCGGCGACAGAGGCAGCGTTTGCGAGCAGCGACAGCGGCGAGCAGTGAGATCGGGAGTGGCAGCGACAACGGGTTAGGGTTGGGTAAGGGTTATATCGGTTTAGTTGGTTCGATTGAACCAACTAACCAATCGAACCAGGACCGAACCAGACCTAAAATCCTGGTTCGGTCACCTTGGTTTACCCAGGCGCTCGCCCGAAGCGCCCAGCGCCTAGGCTCGGGCGAGCGCCCAGGCGACGCCTGTTTGAAGCGCGCCGCTTGGGAGATTAGCGAGGCGCTCGGGCCTCGCCTCGCCTCGCCCGAGCGCCTAGGCGAGCGCCCGAGCGCCTTTTTCAATCACTGATAGTGCCTTCCGCAATTCATCAGGGCTTGCTGTCAATAATTTGAAACTTGATAGTCTTGAGCTTGTTGATTCATTCGAGGGAGTTACCTTTGTCTGATTTAGGGTAATATATCAATACTTATACTTGTGAGTTAGATATCTCCTTTGTTTTTGGTGGTCTATTGTATCTCCCATTGTCTGTCGGCAAGGATAAGTTTCTTCATTTGGTTTAGTGTTCACTTCAACAGTAACTGTTTATATTACACACAAATGATTATTTTCTCTTTAACTGCTCTTACATATCTTTTGCTCATATTTCAGCCCATGGAACTTTTAGTTAAGTCTAAAGGGTCGGACTTTGCTCTTGTACCAGTTTGTTCAGAACTAATATACTTATTTTTCTGGCAGGTTGTTAAGGTTGCAGATTTTGGTGTTGCACGTGTTAAAGCAGAGTCTGGAGTCATGACTGCTGAAACAGGAACATATCGCTGGATGGCACCTGAGGTAATATTCTACAGTAATTTCATCTCTTAACGAAGTTTAGTCTTAACCCACATACATATGCCTTCTTTTTGGGTGATCCAAGGGTACCTCGTGACTTTCTGAAGATATTTTATGATGTTGACTGAACTTTGCACCTACTTGTCAATTTGTGTGCCAAAACACGTGGACATTATAGGATATTTGATCCTCTGCATGCATTGGTTACATACATAACTAAACTATAACCACACATGATTTGATTAATTGTTCTATATTTCTTTATGGCATAAAATGTTTAGTTATGCTTTGCCTGAAAAGGTGCTTTTGCAGGATGCATTTCATATACTTAACTACTGTGGCATCTTTTCAGGAGTCCAGTTGCATTTGGTTGAGATGCCAAATAATCAGTTTTCCAGCATGTATATCGTTGTTCAATCATGCACATGTAATGAATAATGTGATAGAGTGATGTCTTTTCAACTATGCACATGTAATGTATATCGTTGTTCAATCATGCACATGTAATGAATAATCGTTGCCTGAAAAGTCCTGGGGAAGTTGTTTCTCTTTTCAACTATGGTCCCATAAATTTCGAGTCCTGGTGCTTTGTTACTCCAGCAACTCAACATGTTCCTTATTAACCTAAATGTAGGTGATAGAACACAAGCCCTATGATCACAAAGCTGATGTTTTTAGCTTTGGAATTGTAATGTGGGAGTTGCTTACAGCTAAGGTAACCTCAGGATATTGCAATTACAAAATTTTATTTGTTCACGTTCTTCAACCTTTCTTACAAGTATATTGTCTCTATATTCTGTGGTTTTGTGCAGCTCCCATATGAATACTTAACACCACTCCAAGCTGCAGTAGGCGTGGTTCAAAAGGTAAGTTTGTTTGTGGTTTTTCTCATGTGGTCAGAATAATAGCTACTACATTACCCATAGACATTAGTTATGTATTCGTACAACACATACATGGAAGACACGATTTCTCTGACATAATGGGTATATATTCTGATATGAGGAGAATTAAAAATAGGGTACAGTGTGACTATGCTTTTGTGATCTACTTTCTTTGAACAATGTGTATGTGTATTTTATGACAACTTCCATGAATTTAAAAAGAAGCAAAATCTTTGTGAAAAATAAGAAAGTATCATTAGAAGGTAAATGTTTTCACCTGAAAATTAAATGCAGAACACATTTTTCGCGTTTCACATATAACAGTCGTTTATTTCATCACCATAAACCACTCTTGTTTTATGTATCGAAACAAGGATACTGAGTGTAGACTTTTGATGAAAATTGACTGCAATTTTACTTTTTGAATTCTTAAAGTAAAACTGTTTCTTTAAGAGTTGCATGGCTATATTGTATTATTGAGAACTCTACGTGACTGTTTCTTTTTTTCCTCTTATTGCAACACAAACAGGTGACACATGTTGCTTTTCCTTCTAATCTCTATAGGGTTTGAGACCTACCATTCCAAAGAATACTCATCCGAAACTTGCTGAGCTGCTGGAGAAGTGTTGGCAGCAAGACCCAGCTGTCAGGCCTGATTTTTCGGAAATACTGGAGACACTACAGCTTATTGCTAAAGAGGTTTCACCATCAACGACTTGAAACTGTGCCCCCTAAATTGCTACCGGTGCCTTAATAAGATTTTTGGTTGGTTGGCTGGTTTGAACAGGTCAGAGATGAATCCAATGATCGCCGCAAGGAAAAATCATCAGGTGGATTTCTCTCGGTTCTCAGACGTGGCCACTGAATCTTTTTTGTTCTCCATGAACCAAATGCAGTTTATGATCTCATCATGGGTGATTTCTGGTCTACCAATGGTAGAGGTAGTGCTGTAGAACTGTACAGTGTTAAATTTTGTGACCTGCTTCCTGGCTTTTATCGAGTTGTAATTCTTTTACCTTGCATCACCTTCGTGCCGTTTTTTCCTCTTTTTAGTGCCTCATCGACGTAGAATGTATTGAATAGGACTGATTGCAGCCAGTGTGAGAGTTGCTAATCGTTTGAGCTAACAACTGATGCTATGTGTGCTTAATTTAACTTTCTTTAGCTTGGCCATTAAATCTAACCCTTGGTTGATACATGTTTATTTATTATCAAGCCGGAAAACAAGATCAAATCGGACCATATATTTGAATGCTGCTCGATGTAATTTTGAACAAGCAGGAGTCGATGTGTGGTTTGGCAATTGGAGCATTCTCATTTTCCTCGTGTTGTTTTGGTTGCCTTTGCAGGTTTGTCAAAGAAAGCCACCACCAAATCTCACTATAAATAAAAACAGAAAGCTGCGTCAAAATTTGAAACTAAGATGTTTGGTAGGCAGTCAACCATGATTGAATCCTGTGTGGCTGATTCTTCTTCCAGACGAGGGATGATCGATGCCTGCCTGCCTGCCTGCATCCTTCTTCCCAACAGATAACGTCTACTGGCAGTCGCCTTAGAAAACACCCAATTAACGGTCCAACATATAAAGTCTACTGGCTGTCGCCTTAGAAAACACCCAATCAACGGAGAAACTCTAAAAGTTCATCGTTTTCAAAAATCATAAAATCTTCAGAAGAGTTTTTAATTTATTTGAAAATCTTTGAAGACAAACCATTGTGAGACGAAGAAAGGTGATCGGAGATAGACCTCTCTGCCTAGGAGATGTCCTGACTCACAATCCCAACCGCTCCTTGCGAAAGGAAAGGAAAGGATGGGATTTCTTTGAACTAATTATATCCCATCTTTATATTTTAAAAAATTATATTAATATTTTTATAGTTAAAAAAATAAAACATTTAAGTTCATTTATCATAGCATTGTTGGGGGTGTGTTGTTGATAAAGAGAGCATTTATAGTTAAAAAAATAAAACATTTAAGTTCATTTATCATAGCATTGTTGGGGGTGTGTTGTTGATAAAGAGAGCAATGGCGAGAGGTGAGAGCTGTTTTGTATATGTATCGATGTTGGGGGTGCCCTTAAATTTTCCTGCATGGGTAAATCCTGTGGTTGGTCCGACCGACCAAAGAAAGGCAGTTACGACGACGATGGCAACCGTCTATTGGAGCATATGAGGTCGGTCGCTCTCCGATCGAAGGCGAGTACTCTTGGCAGGGGACATACTTCTCCCACGTGGCCGGTTTGATCAGCTTATGGCGTCCTCAACAAGCTGGAGCTCATGTTGTCCTTCCTTTAACGACAAGCTTTCTTTCTCCTACTCGGACTGCATTCTACTGCCAATGTTGTCCTTCCTTTAACGACAAGCTTTCTTTCTCCTACTCGGACTGCATTCTACTGCCAGACTTAAAACTTGCAATCGACCAACTCAAGAAGGACAGGACAAAGTTATGTAGAATGTTGGATTTCGAATGCCTCGTAACACTCCAAGCACCTTTTCCGGATTTTATTCTCCTTACTTTCTCTCCTTTTACTGTGCAATTGCTTTTCCTTCCTTCCTTCCTTCCGCCAGACGCCATCATTCATCATCTGCAGCTTTAATGCGCTCAGAAACACCGCATCTCAATCGGCTTGCTGACCCAACTAATTTCCAACGAAGCAAGCAACCCAGAGATGCTGTCATGGAAGTCGGTCTTAAAGCAGACAAAAAGCCCAGAGACTTGCTCCCTTTACCCTTTTCCTTTTTCTTTTCCCTTTAATCCCTTTTATCCTTGGTTATATGCTGCGTTACCCTCGCAACTCCTACCAGTAGCCACCTTTCTTCATGCAGAGGAAGGAGATACTTTGAACTGCACCATCTGTGTTCCGCTCCGGCATTTGGATTCATGGCTGCGACGGTGCCGCCGGTGGCGCATGTGTACTTTGGGAAGCCCATGCTGCCGGATGTGTCGAGGGTGCTTGCTTGCCTCTACGAGAAGGACATCGCCTTCGAGCTGGTGGACATGTATGAAGGCCACCGCATGCCTGCAGACATCCTCAAACTCCAGGTACTTGCACCTCCCATGTCTTATTTTCCATTCGATCTCCAAATGTTGATTCCCTTGAGCAGGCCACCATGAGAGCTCCTGTCCCAGCCTTCAAAGACAGAGACACATTCTTACTAGGTACGTAATTTCTTCATCCTCCCAGCACAAGTTTGTCCATTCCTCACAAGATAGTCTTAAGCCTGAGATGCATGAACAATAGTAGTAAATGAGTAAGGCCACACTTGTAGGTTCCTTTTCCTCACAAGATAGTCTTTGACATGTTCCTTTTCCTGTTCCCTGGAAGTCAGAATCCAGAGCCATATGTCGCTATGTGTCAGAGAAGTATGCAGAGCATGGAAACAAGTACCTTCTCGGAAGGGATCTACTCGACAGGGGATCCATCGAGCAATGGCTGAAGACAGAGGAGCAGAGCTTCAACCCTCCGAGCTGGGCATTAGTCTTCCACTTAGCGTTCGCCCCCCTGACAAATGGCAATGAACTGGACCAATCACTGGTCACCGAGAGCGAGAAGATGCTGGGTAATGTCCTGGATGTGTATGAGCATAGGCTGAGAGAGAGCAAGTACCTTGCGGGCGATGAATTCACTCTGGCAGACCTGTCTCACCTCCCAAACACTCATTACCTTGTCAACTCTAGGCAGTGGAACCACCTGTTTAATTCGAGGAAGAACATCCAGAGGTGGTGGGAGAAGATCTCGAACCGGCCTTCGTGGACAAAGGTCGTGGCAATGCTGAATGAGGTTGAAACTCCAAAGTCATCTGCTGCTGAAGAAGTTGCCACGGCTCGAGAGGCCAAAATTAGTCATCTTTCTCAAACTCCTGCAGCAGCCACAGCTTCTCAGACAAGTCCTCAATCAACTCCAGTTGTTCCTCAATCGACTCCTGAGGTCAAGACTAGTCCTCAGACAGCAGCTACAGCTTCTCAGGCAAGTCCTCAATCAACTCCAGTTGTTCCTCGATCGACTCCTGAGGTCAAGACTAGTCCTCAGACAGCAGCTACAGCTTCTCAGGCAAGTCCTCAATCAACTCCAGTTGTTCCTCGATCGACTCCTGAGGTCAAGACTAGTTCTCAGACAGCAGCTACAGCTTCTCAGGCAAGTCCTCAATCAACTCCAGTTGTTCCTCGATCGACTCCTGAGGTCAAGACTAGTCCTCAGACAGCAGCTACAGCTTCTCAGGCAAGTCCTCAATCAACTCCAGTTGTTCCTCGATCGACTCCTGAGGTCAAGACTAGTTCTCAGACAGCAGCTACAGCTTCTCAGGCAAGTCCTCAATCAACTCCAGTTGTTCCTCAATCGACCCCTGAGGTCAAGACTAGTCCTCAGACAGCAGCTACAGCTTCTCAGACTTCTCCCCGGACTGCTGCGCCAGAACCAAGTAGCAAGCCATCACTTGAACAGAAATCATCCAAATCATCTGCTGACAAACCAGATTCAGCTATTGACCAACAGAGCTCACCAAAAGGTCCAACATCCAATCTAATCTCTCAATCAGAACCTGCTACACAGCCAACACCTCAATCACAACAAGGTGATTCATCAACTGGTAAACCAACATCTGTTACCACCCAGTCAAACCAAAAAACAGATACTCCTATTGATAACTCTGCCCCTACAGGGACTTCAGAGACCAAAGCAACCAGCCAGCCAGATTCAACTGCTTCATCTACTGCATCAGACAAACCTAATTCCCAGCCATCTGGTGATAAACCAACATCCTAAAAGTACTCTAGTGGTAATATAAATGAAAAAACAGAGTCTACACCTCAATCTACTGTTTGCCAAGTGAATCCATATCACCCTGTAGCTCATCAGTCTCGAAGATCCAAGTGGACGAGCTCCTGGTCAGATGATTTCCAGCAAAATGCAGATCCAAGCACTACAACGAAATCTTTTTCTTGCACGCAGTCTCCTGCAGATCCTGCCAAGATAACGAAAGTAATCGCTTACTTGACTCCATCTTTTTGTCAAGACTTGCTTTTAGAGCTTCTTTTCCTGGAGTGATTTATTGTGGACAATCGAGAACTTCTATCTGTTCTTCTGGTTTTCTTGTTGAACAATTGAAGATATTTGTTTAGTCACAAGAAGCTATAGCTTTACAACCACACCAAAAAAGATGATTCAACAAAAACAAAACAGATATTATAATCCTGCTCAAAAGATGTTGAAACCCATAAAACTCAAGCCACTCTTGCAAATTAAGATCCAGAATATCAAACAATGAGAGTGTCAAGCACATGAAGCAACCCTCAGATTCCTAACAATGCTTTAAAGTTTAAACATTAAGATTACAATGTCAAGACTCCCAGGCAAAATAATAATTAAAGGTGGTTCAATCACTCTAAATAAGAAAAAGCAAACGTTCAATTTTAGATTTCCTGGTGATGTTGATTCTGTGCAATCCGTATCAGACATGCTTATTAAAAGAAAAAAGAACTGCAGGTGTGCTAATCTCAAACACTAGTAGGTGAAAAAATGCATACTGTGGTCAGGTTCAACCAAGACAACTTGCTACTTTCTTCTGCAAATACTGTTAAGTACTCAACAGAATAATGAAGGACCGAACCATTTCTTGTCACACACTCAACAAGACAAACAGCATAGTGGTACAGTAAAGAAACAAAATGCTTAACAAAGTTGGGATTTTGATAATGCACAATAATGGCTGCATGTCCTTGCTTGGCATAAAAAAATTTTAGAGTAGGAAGAAAAACTTACGCCCTAAGAAAAGGTAGGCAGACTTGCCAAGCATTCATGTGGGTTCGATTTCATCATCTAAGATTCTTTCTTACGAGACACAAGGAATATTGATAAAACTTGCCAAAAATTACAACAATTCACAGAAAATGGTTTTGATGAAAAATAAACCCATAGGAGTATAGAGTATCTAGTTTTGCAGATTAAAACTGTCACAGAATCAACAAACCAGTGGTCTATGCAACTGAATCTATCAGCAAAATGAAAAGACTGAATTTTCATAATGGAACAAAATTACCTTTCACTGAGTGCTGTTCCACGAGCAACAAACCTGCTATTGTTCTTTCTATCCATCCTCATCAAGCTATTTGTCTAACCATCATCTTCGGGCTCTGATAGGCGATCGTCTTATACATGACTGAGATTTACACAGCCACCTTCTCCACAAAATTGCATCCAAATAACAGGATTAAATGTGCTGCAGTAACATGGAACCAATCCAAAACTGGCAGACGATGAGAGGTGAAGCTTTTCCTCTGCCGCCGCCAAAGAGAGGCCTGTAAGAAGGTTTTACACACCAGACGCAAGCTAATCTTTACAAATATCAGCCATCATGATAGAAAAGAAAAAATAGTTTTCTTTTTTTTTACAACTGCACTTGTACAACTGATAACATTTGTAATATTTGTGGTTTGTACCGTCTAGAAGAAAGAAAATAAAAACCACAAGTTTCACGGAACATTGTCTGAATTCCCGGTCGACATAGCTCTAACGTTAGCTTGAACATCAATCTGTAACAGGTACTCAGAAGTCAAGGGTTCCGCATTGTTTGCTCTCTATATTAGATCCAGTCCTTTCTGAACGTAAATTTCTTTGTTCAACGCGCTTATTCAGACCATTGGTGCCTCTTGCTCTTCCAATACCAAGTTTTGGTAGACCTCGATTCAATCCCTCCAGCAAAAGGCATGCTTTACACAACTTCTGTAGTTCAGATTGGAAAATCATCAGAATATTGTCGATAATGTAGACATCTGAAAATAAATTTCACAAGCATAATGAACTGAAGATAAAGGATGGGAGACCAAGCCATCATAGAAATAATATTGATTGAAACATCACTAATTTCTGATAATTTTCATTTCTTAATCAATGACTGGACTAATATGTTGTTCATCAAAAAGACAAGTATCACACTACCAAGCATGGGAAAAGGTGTCAGTCGCCACAATTTCCTTGATCAACATATATTAATATGGAGTTACGCATAATAGGCTAATTAAGTGGAACACGTATGTTCAAGAAAGATGTCAACTAGATCATAGTTCATAAGCAAAACCTCCATCCACTTGTCTGTCATATTGATCATAAATATCATGTATGAAAAAGTGGCAAAATTGTCTTCACCAGTTGGCAATTTACAAGGGCTTTGTATGGGTTGCTAACTGATAAATCCTGATCAGTGGGGGAGTTAATATAGAAACCACTATATTACCATCCTGTTAACATCGAATTACAAGTGCAGTTAACATTGAAAATCCCGTCAATCATGCTATGACCATAGTCACCATACCAAGTTCCTATTCAGTGATATAATAGATGTAGTGACTAGGGAAGATCCGATAGGTAGAAAAGGAAAAGAAAACTTCTGTGTGATGAGAGAAGAATGATTCTTATAATACCTGGCTAGAAATATAACCACAACGCTCACATGTTCCTTGCTCTGGCATCTTGGTTGATGTCGCTGTTCTAAAATTCTCACCTGATCTAATGATGTCTAAAATAGCTCTTGGTCTACACATAGATATTAAGTTAGATTAGAAGTGCAATGTACAAAGAAAATCTAAAAATTTTAAAGATAGACAATTTTGCCAAAAGATTGTCACTGTGAAGTTCAAATAGGCAAAGGGTTTACCTCATTCTTTCCAAATCTTTAATAAATTCACGAGCAAACCCACGATAAGCATTGGGTGAATATATGCCTGCGTTACCAGTAATAATTCTTGATGAGATGAAATGGAAGCATAGTATTGAAGTATAATGCACAAAAGTACAACAAATCCACAGTAATAAAAGCTTAGGATATTCAATAGGCTACAAATCTCTGCGAAACAAGGTAATTTTTTTCTACAACTTAAAAGCTTTATCAACTATAAATACACAAGTTAAGAAAAAGGAATCATACACCAAAGTGCCACTAACATCATGTCCTTCTTGAGATGCAATATCCGTATGCCCATATTTATGTTCTTCATGGTAATTTAATTGGTCATTATCATAAAACAGTCAACACATAAGGATACTAGATCAAAGGGCTCAAAGCATGTGCTAATCCAGTGTTAGTCACAGTCAACACCAGTAAACACTATTAAGGCAAGATATTAGATCATCCATGAATCATCACCCATTTTCGCTGGCATAATGTGTCACCCATGTACAAATTTAAAAGAGATTGGCACGCTATTACTCAAACCCAGTCCCACTTGATAAATCATCATCAATTATGATTGGCATCCTACACTTAAAAGGGATAAAAAGATAATGAGCTGTATAAGTAGAAATAAGAGACATAAGAGTATGAAGTATTACATTCAGTGGAGAAATAATCCAGCTTCTTGAAATATGCATACGTAATACTTTGTTAAGGTTTGGTAGTTAGACTAACATAGAAGAATAGGTAATAACACCATGGATAATCAGAATTCAGTGGCAAGGATATATAACAATCTCTTTCTCATATGTGTACTTGAAAGGCTTGCATCTTGGAATAGGTCCATCTTCACCAGTAGTTATAAAAGTACACCTACTCAACCTAAAAGATCAAATGTGCAAAATTGCGGTCATTCTTAACATAAAGACAACTATGAACTTGATATCAAAAATTGGAAAGCACATTACCTTGCAATGTCACCCCGTAAAATATTCAGTAGAACAGTCTCCGCAATATCATCTGCATTATGCCCAGTAACAAGCTTATCTGCTTTCAGTAACGCAGCACCTCGATCTAGAGCCTGAGGAGACCAAGAACATGCTAATTATGAATGACCTCAAGACGGACTCGATCTAAGGTATATAAGGCGCATTTGAAAGAAAAAAACCAAGAAAAGAATATGAAGAAATAAGCTGCATCACAGAATAAAAATATAGAGACAATGACAAGAGTAGTATGCAACAAATCCAAAATATCAAGCAAATAAAGCTAATTATCAGCTTCTTGTATGCTTTTTCCAATAATATTACCACTTGTAGCATAGTCATTGGCATGAAACACTATTCTTTTTCTTCAGTATGAGATGTTGTCCTATCAGCACATTAAGTATCAGCCACACTCCTTCATAAGTTCATATATGAAAATTTTAAATTCTAAATATCTGATGCCAGTTGGTAAGTATCTGAAAAGCTGTTTGAGTCAGATATGATTGCATCACAAGCATATAATTTGCCTACATGATGCAAATTGTGTATTCCTCATCCTCTGCTAGAGCTTTTCAGCTATGTAGGAACCTCAGGCAAGGTTCCTAATTTCATCCAGACAGTGCATTTATTGGTTCAGGCGAGCACTAGGACATGGACCGTCCTTTTTTGGCAGGCCAATCTGGTTTATTTCTTTTATTCTTTTTAGTAGTCGCCCCTTTTTGGTGGTCCAATCCAGTTTATTCTTTTTAGTAATTAACAATGCTACCTCATCCATCTCTCTCTCTCTCTCTCTCTCTCT